ATGGCCGACGTGCGGGAAGAGGAACACCACGTCGCCCACGGGCGGGAGGCCTGGGGGGAAGAGCAGGAAGAGGAGGAGGAGTACGACGAGGACTGCGAGGAGGGGAGCGACGCCGCGGACGAGGACGCGGACCAGGGCGCCGAGTGCTTCGGCATCTACAACGCCAGCGAGATCAACGACCAGGTGTTCGAGGAGCTGTTCCTGCCCCCCGCGCTGGTGGAGGAGGTGCAGAACGCGTGGAGCCTCTTCCTGCGCAACGCAGAGTCGCGCGAGTCGGCCGGCGAGGCTGTCTATGCGGCGATCTTCGACTCTGCGCCAAGTCTGCAGAATCTCTTCAAGACACCGCGCGCCGTAATGGCCATGCGGTTCACGAACGGCCTCAACCAGATCATCAGCCAGTTGGGCAACCCCAGCGCCCTGAAGATATTGGTCGAGACGCTCGGCTTCCAGCATCTCGACTTGGAGGTGACCGCGCCCCGCGTCGTCATGTTTCGCGATGCGATTGTGGATCTGCTGCAAGTGGAGCTTGGTGAGCACATGAGTCAGAGCGCACACTTAGGCTGGGACGTGATGCTAAACTACGTGGGTGGCGCATACATTTACGTCCGTGTGAAGTACACCGACAGGGTTAAGATTTTGGCTTCGAGCTGGGCCATCGCCAACAATAAGCATGAGCTCGAGGCGGAAGAAGATGATATCGAGGGCTCCTTTGGCAGGGAATCGGATTCCGCTGAAATGTCAGCAGAGGCCAGGCGTGTTGAGGAGGAGGAGGCTGCTAAGTTGAAAGCGGCAACCGAGAAGAAGAGCTATTTTCAGAAGGGCATGGAACACATGAAGGGTAACAGTAAATCCTCCAGTGGCAGTGGTGGCACTGATGTAGAGGCAATGGGACGCGGGAAGACGAACAAATCGAATGGTTCAGACGGCGACAGCTTCAAGAATACGTCGGTGCCAACTACGTACGTCGACATGTTCGCTTTTAACGCTGCCGTCATGGGTTTCGGGCGAAACATCTGGATGAACGAGGTCCTCGCGTCATTCGATACGATAGTGATGAACGTGTCTAATTCGTACCGCCTGCAGGAGGAGTGCGACGTGCTGTCGTTGCGGATGGCGAAGTACAGGGGCACCGTGAACCTGTCGGAGTACAAGGCAGTCATGCTGGCATCTCTACGCTCCTTGGTGCCCAAGGGCTGGAACTCCGACCACGAGGTCGCCTGGTCGTGGTTGTGGGAGAACGTGGAGCGCATGCTGAAATCGATGATGGGCAAGCCAGCGAACATGGAAAGGTGCCTCGCGCGCCTCTGGGCCGGCCTCGACGAGGCAGGCCAGGCCACGGTGCGGCGCGAGGTCTACGCGAAGTTCTTCCAGCTAGCCCCCGCGGGCCAGGACTTCTTCAAGCAGTCCACGACTCGGCTGCACTTCATCTCGGATCGGATCGTGTCCATGACCCTGGAGATCTACAGGCCAGGGGCAACTTGTGGGGGGGGGTCGGATCACGGGGCGATGCAGCGGCCCCACATCGCCCATGTGTCGCCGGTAGGGCCTCCACAGGCCACCCCGCCCAGGGACATGCGAATTCGCTGTCGGGGGCATATCGCCAATCCGTTGGCGACGTATCGCCGATTCCAGCTCGATGTCCCCCCCTGCCCTGAGCTGGTCCCCCCCTCACGTTGTCCCTCAAAAGGGAGCCGAAGAAGATGGTTGAGGACCGGGGCTCGAGCTAAATTGGGTGTTTGGCGATTTATTAGACAGTGCTCGTTGTGCTGTCGTTTTGCAGCAGAAGGCGGGACGAAGACAGAACGATAGACAACGGAAACAACACAAAAGCCAAACACATCGTTTAGGTCGGGCCCCTTGGAGGACATCTCCGCCCTTGGGCTGCGCCACGTCGGCTACGGCATCCCCACGGACCTGTTCGGACCGTTCGTCTCCGCCTGCGTTCAGGTCGTGCGCGGCTTGACCGACGACAACGGCGCCGAGGATCATAGGAGGAAAAGGTACGGGATATTGCTGCCCTGCCATCGTTTGCGCAGGAGGAGCAAGAGGAGCAGCAGGTTAAGGTACCGGTACCGCTACCCTTCACTCGTTTTCGCATGTTTCAGCTTCCTGGAAGGCCCTCGTCGCCGCCGCTGGAGTCGCCTCGAAATTCTAGACGTTTCGCGTAATCCCACCAGCTTGCTCGGGTGGCTTGTTTACCTCTGGCGCCTGGCGCGACAAGGTGCAATTCGTTTGTCTTCCCGGTGGTCTCGCCCCTGGAATGGTTGCACTTCAGCCACCTGGCACACCTGGCACCTCTTGCAGCTCTGCCTTCAGTCCCCGGCGTCGCTCCTCGGCGTCCCTCGGCGGCAGTTTCGGCGGCCGTCAGTTTGCGCGCTTAGGTAATTACGTCTGGCTCGTAGCCGGGGCGCCGGGGCTGACTTCGGACGCCGCGTGCGCTTCCGCTTGCGGCCGCGACGAAAAAGTAATTCCACCAGCCCATCTAAAGACGGTGCCCAGTGGAGGAGCATGCAGGGGAAGAAAGGGTTGGGGGAAGCCGTCACCCTAAGAGGGGGAGGATGGACGAGGAATCGGAGGAGGAGAAAGAGGAGTAGGGGGAGGGGGAATGGAAATGGGAATGGGACCAGTGACGAAGTCAGACATGAAGGAAATTGCTTCCGAGCTCGACACGTCATGCGGCGATGATATAGCCGACCACGACTGCGCCTCCAGCCCAGCGGTGCCGACGCAAACCCCAGACGCAATGCGAACACCCAGGCCCAGGCTGTGCGGCGACTGCTGCCGTGCCCTCGGAGCTTGTGGACGATCGAGACAACCAAGCGGCCGAACGCGGCGAAGAACAGCAGAGCGATGATGAGAATGTCTAGGCCTCCCAGATGGGGTCGGAGTAGATGGGGTCGGAGGATCGCGCCGCGTCGCCGATGCATCGGCGATGCATCGGCGATGCGGCTCGATGTGGGGCCCAACTTTGTCCACGCTGACGTCGCCGACGCATCGCCGACGTCGCCAGTGCATGGCCGATGCATCGCCGGTGCATCGCATCGCCGATGTATCGGCGATGCGGCGAGATCTTCTGGCCCCATCTACTCCAGATTTCGTAATAAAGGGAGGGGGGTCTCATTTCGGGGGGGGTCTCTTCCAGGCTATCTTGGAGGGCCTGGGGGGTCTGGGGACGATGTTTTGGAGGGTTCTCCCACGGGGGAGGTCTGAAATGGCTTGTCTTGGAGGGTCCAGACCCCCTCCCTTTTATTACGGAATCTGGAGTACTCGGAACGCATCTAGGAGGCCTCGGGAGTGATGGGTTGCACACAACACCTTGAGCTGTATCATTGCTTCCTGCACCGATGATCGGATGCTGGAGCGGCAGTGGCCAAACTTGATGAAGCAGACGGTCCGAAAGTGGACGAAGGTGCTGATTGCGGCTCGGCGATCAGGAGGGGGAGGAGCAGGACGATCAGGAGGGGGAGGGAGAGGAAGAGGAGGAGGAGGAGGAGGAGGACGAGGAGGAGGAGGAGCAAGAGGAGGCGGAGGAGGAGGAGGAGGAGGAGGAGGAGTAGGATCAAGGAGGGGGAGGGGGAGGGATGAGGGGAAGCAGGAGGAGGAGGAGGAGGAGGAGGAGGAGGAGGAGGATGCCATGGCCTCCAGGGCTTTTGCCGCAGCCGTCGCGAGTTTGTCGGTGGTCGCTGCCTCGCGAGCCGCGCTGGCCTCGGGCCTGCGCGCGCCCCGCACCCCGGCGCCAGGCAGCAGCCCAGCAGCGGCGCCGCCCGCCACAGCTCGCCCCGCGCCGGCCAGGCCGCCGTCGCTTGGCAGGCAGATCAGGCCAGCCACAACTGGGGGAGCTGTGGTCCTTACCCCCCTGGGGGACCGACCCATCGATGTCGACACCCCTCTCGAGAGATCGATCGTCGAGGCGATGGGTTCCCCCAGGGGGGTAAGGACCACAGCTCCCCCAGTTATGGCCGGTCGGCAGACGGCGTCGGACCTCTTCGCGTCGCCGTCGCGCTCCTCTGGCCTGCCACCGAAAGACGCTCTACACACACACACACGGGCGCGACAGCTTTGGTCACGAGGTCCGCCCGGCGCGAAGCCAGAGCCTGGACCGCGGCGAACGTGAAAAGGAACTCTGCGCGAACGTATTGATCCTGGCGTTGTGTGATCTATGTGGTGCGCAGTCTACGCGATGCAACCTGCATGGTAGAATGCCATGTTCTGCAACATGTGGTGTGCTATGTATGTTGTGCTATTCATGTGGGGCGGCGACGGCGGCCACATAGCCGCCAGATCGAAAACATGGCCCAGACGACGGGCGGCGACGAGGCGGCGACGGGGCGGCGACGGCGAGAACATAGCCGCCAGACCGAAGACACGGCCTGGGCGACGGGCGGCGACGAGGCGGCGACGGGGCGGCGACGTCGGCCACATAACAGCCGCCGGACCGAAGACACGGCCCAGTTTCTTCGAACAGATGAGAGCGCTTAGGTGCAAGCATTGCCCTACAAGTAGCAACGCAGGCATCGCGAAGCAACACAAAGCAAGCAAGGCAAAGCGAAGCAATGCAACGGAATGCCTAGCAAAATAGAAACGCAAAACACTGGAATGCCAAACCACGCAATGCAGTGCAAAGCAATGCAAGCAATGCAAAGCAACGCAAAGCGAATCAACACAAATCAACACAAAGTCACGCGAGCAATGCGAACCAACGCAATGCAATGCATATTCCAGGCTAGCAATGCGCAGGCGGCGACGAGGCGACGACGGGGCGGCGACGGCGAGAACATAGCCGCCAGACCGAAGACGCGGCCCAGACGACGGGCGGCGACGAGGCGGCGACGGGGCGGCGGCGGCGGCCACGTAGCCGCCGGACCGGCCGCGCGGCCCAGATCTTGTAAGAGATGGGAATTCTTCAAAAGTGCAAACACTGCTCGGGGAAGACTGGCGCAAAGTGGTCGTGGAGCGCCCTCGTATGCTCCAGGTCTTGAGGCAAAGTGTAGCTGGTATTGTTTGTTGACAGGTGTGGTTGGCCTGCGCGCAGCAACCAACATGCTGGCGCACCCACCGACCCAGTCAGATACCGATGCAACGTGGTCGCGGGGCGCCCCCGCACGCTCCGGATTCGGAGGCAAAACGCGTTTCCCAACCATCCTGTGATTTCGGATTGTCGTTTTGAAGAGACAGCGCCCCGCGTCTCCTTCCTTGACTCCCGCTGCCATCCCTCCCTCCCTCCTCCCATCCTTGTCATCCCTGCCTCTGCCCTCCGCATTCTTTGTTTCGGCACACCACTCACGTTTCGTGGTCCTATTGGGAGCTCCATCGAAGGCCCCAGTGGCAACTTGCATGCGTCCCCCAGCCCATTTCGGCACACCCCTCACACGCTTCGTGGCCCAGCTCTACCGAAGGCTTCAGTGGCAGCGCGCGCATGCGTCCCCCACTCCATTTCAGCACGCCCCTCATACGTTTCGTGGTCACACGTTTCGTGGCCTCACAGGGAGCTCCACTGAAGGCCCCTGTGGCAGCGCTCGCATGCGTCCCCCAGACCATTTCGGCACACCTCTCACACGTTTCGTCCCCCCACAAGGGGCTCCACCGAAGGCTCCTGTGGCAGCGCTCGCATGCGTCCCGCAGCCCATTTTGGCACACCCCTCGCACGCTTCGTGGGCGCACAAGGGGGCTCCGCAGAAGGCTCCTGTGGCAGCGCCCGCGTGCGTCCCCCGTACCCATTTCGGCACATCCCTCGCACGCTTCGTGGCCCCATAGGGAGCTCCACCGCATGCGTCTCCTCGCCAATGTTGGCACACCCCTCACGCGCTTCGTGGCCCCATAGGGAGCTCCACCGAAGGCACCAGTGGTGGTTTTCGCATGCGTCCCCCGCACCCATTTCGGCACACCCCTCGCACGCTTCGTGGCCCCATAGGGAGCTCCTCCGAAGGCCCAAGAGGCGATCTCGCATGCGTCCCCTCGCCAATGTCGGCATACCCCTCACGCGCTTCGTGGCCCCACAGGGAGCTCCACCGAAGGCACCTCTGGCGGTTTTCGCATGCGTCTCCCAACCAATACCGGCACACCCCTCACACGTTCCGGGGCCCCACATGGAGCTCCACCTAAGGCTCCAGCGGCAGCGCTCGCATGCGTCCCTTCGCCAATGTCGGCACGCCCCTCACGCGTTCGCGCGTCCCCCATCCGCATGCCCCGTGCCCCGTTCTTCCCGCGGCGCGCTACCTACGAAGAGGTGGTCGCATGGCGGTGTTTCTACAGTATCGGACCGAAGTCCTGCGCCCAGCACTTTTGAAATATGACCGAGCAGCTGTCGAAAAGGCGGCTCAGCAGGTTCTGGTACCGTTTGAACGCTCTTCTGCCGCATGATGCTCTTTCCCATCGCCTGGTGGTCCTGCGCTCCTGGCTAGTGAACCGAGCCCTGCTTTCTGGATGCATTACCGTTTATGGGCAGCGGCGCGGATGACCGGCAGGTGGTCGCCGCCGATTTCAGGCGGCAGGGAGCACCCCGCGTCTTTGGTGCAGATGCTGTGGGCGTCGGAACGCTTCTCTGCGTCAAGTGCTGATGTCGTGTTTTTTTGTTCGCCACCGACCGCCGGGAGGTGTTCCCTGGCGACGTCCCGGCGGAACTGATGCTCCAGGTGCTGTTCGGGGGCCACACCAGCCCCATTAACTACATCGCGCACATCTCTTTTTTATCGGAATTGCTATTCGACGGTCTGCACCGTTGTATTATTTGTCGTCTTCCTCCTCTTCTCGTTTTCGTCCTCTCTCTTTTTTGTTTGCTAAGGCTCTCTGTCCTTCGTGCATCTGCCCTGTGGGGGCTCGAGTTGTCTATTTGCTCTACAGGGTTGTTGCGTGTTTTCTGCGTCCACTGCCGCCCAGTGCGATACCGCAGAGGGCATCTCGCCAGGTTTCACGCCTGCATGCTCGCTGCCAGTAAGTCCTGCGTCACAGTCGTGATGCGCGGGTGCGCGGGTGCCCTT